AGTCATTTCATCGGATTCTAGAGGTCGTCGGCACCAATTGGCCGAACCACTGACCGCTGCGACAAAGTGGAAAGAAGTGATGCGCAAGCTCTGACTCAACAATAGGGAACGCCGACTTTCCTCTGCCGGCAACTTCCTTTGCATACTAAAAGAAAAGAATATGTTCCACTGTTGGCAGGGATGGGACCAAAGGGTTCTCCCCGAAGACCATGGCCATCAGACCTACTTCACAAGGTTGCTTATTTCCTGTTGTGGCTTAACATCACGGAAAGCCGCATCTACACAGAAGAATCGCTCGGCATTGGCTCCGAAAAGGATTCATTGGGCTTGGAATGTTCTGCATCTGCATCTCCAGAGGGGGCTTCAAAAGGATCAGGTCTTTTCATCTCGATTCTCTATGGGATCTGGTTGATCAAATGCATCATCGGACATGTTGCCCCAAACATGGCGTACAGAGCCCTGAACGTTCACCCCTCTAGAGCAAGGCACCTCAATTAAGAAGGCGCCCCTCCCTCCCACCCGGAGCCAACTCTGCGGACAGAAAGCGCTCTCTTCCTTGAAAATCGCTAATGTATAGAGAGAGAGAGAGTTGTGGCTACAAGTATCACAAAAGAACAAGCATTTTTAGAGCACTTGTGTTGGAGTCCAGGCACAAGTGGAGATTACCGGACACCCTGTGAAGCAAGCCGCCTGATTTCTTGCCGAGTTTCTCTTGAAGAATTTGCTCGATCTGTCTGAGCTGCCACAAATACCTTTGCCGTACACATCGTACCTGGGCTTGAGAACACCAGCTTGCGGGCCAGATCATGAAAAAGTCTCTGCGCTGGGGTCAAGACATTATGTCATGACGTCTGAAGTTGTACACTCACTGGCTCATCAAACATGAAGAATACCTATTTGCAAAAGAGCTTGGAAAACTTGGTGCTTCAAGTGGTCGAAATTTGCCAGGCACAGCCAAAGCAGCGAAAGGCTCAAAGCAGCGTGGATTGAGTTGTGACCAAGGCAATTCAATTGAGAATCCAAAAAGTTCAAACAATGGCGCTCGGCCCCAAGATCCATCTAGAGGAAAGTCTTCTTGGAATTTTGGGGGGCTTCCGTGGACTTGCTACAAAACAACCAAGAAATCGTATGGTTCCTCAAACAAAATGTCTCAAACGTCCAGTGATGTCTGTAGGTGCCCTCCGTCTCCCTTCATCTCCCGTTCATATTTTTTTGCACGGAAAAGGCACAGATCACCCCCGTCTCCCTCGGGGGTTCTGACCTTCCGCCAACCCAAGGGCCCAAGGGGAGTGGTTTCAAAGCCCTAAAACTTCTTCGATTCCAAAAAGACACTCTTGTTGTGTCGCTTCCAAAAGAAAACCAACATGAAACAACTGTGCAACGCCCGAACCACATCTATAACCACCACCTCCCCCTACTTCCAAATGCCTCCATCAATGCCACCCTCCCCTACTTCCCTCAGCTCCCCTTGTCCTTCCCAGCGTCGACTGTGCTCGGATAAAGTCCGCTCCCAGCCGGCGCCGGCCACGGAGATGTCCACGCTCTTCACGCTTTGTGACTGGTCGCCTCAGGTCGCAACTGGTCGTCCCATGGTGGCCAAAGGGCGTTCCCAAAGGGCGTTGCGTTCCCAACGGGCCTGGATTTAGTTGGGGTCCCCCGTTGGACGAAACGCCTGCGGCGATCCAAGCGGAAAGTAGGTGAGGTGTGCGGTTGATCCCAAATCCAGGGGTTGATCAAAGCACTATAATTATGTAGGCCTCTCCGATTCATCTTAGATCCTCATATACATGTGGCTCGTGTGCGAAAACCCAGTGACATCAACATCAGCGTCTCATGTGACCACTTGGACCCATCTGTCCGTTCACATTCACAGGGCCCTTTCTGCACCCAAGTGGCCAGCCCGACTGGATGGCGTGGTATGTAGACTGTGGAGACTGGGACTCTCATGCGAGAGCTCCGAGATCATGGCGCGCGAGGACGCGAGAAGCGTCCAGCGCAGCGACCGTTTGGGTGCTTCGGGAATTCCACAGGGACCGGCCGGGCAGTAAAGTTACACAAAGCTCTTTCAGTCGCAAACTGATGTGAAGTTGAGATTCTGGCAACTCCATCAATATAATCAGTGGCGCACAACTGGCACCCCTGGCACCTTGCTGTCGCATCATTGACAGATCATTCAGGCTTTGATCCCAAATCTCCGGTATGTTCTGCGATGTGCGTCTCAAGTCGAGATGAAATCCAACACAAACACGATGCACCAATGAGACTGACCGACCTTCCCTGAAATCAAGGGTTTTTTGAACCTCGGAGCCCATTTCTTCGTTTCACCCGGTGATCAGTCTTGCGGGCAAAGAAGATTTTCCTGGAAATACTGGCTTGTGGATTAGGGTTTAATGTGTGTGGATTAGGGTTCTAATGTTGTGGCTGTCATGTTTGTGGATTAGGGTTTACCCAACTTTAAAGCTGTTGGGTCTGGGTGGGGAGGGCACCCCCTTTTCCCCCAACAAGCTTCTGCAGATGATCGACTTCCAGGTTTCTTTCAAAGCCAACTGAACGTCTTTTTCTCGAGAGCGGATCTCCCAATTCATCGCGGTGCGCGCTCGACGGTGTCGCGATAAGGGTTCCACGGAGCGGCTCAAATGGAGCAATCCGGGCGGGGTGATCGATGCCAGGTGCCATAGGGGTGTGTACTTCAATTGGGGGGGACCCCCTGGCGTAGACTGGTCTATTTCCCTTCTTCCAGGGGGTCGTTGTCTCTAAGGTCTCCCTATTTAATACACACCCGTATAAAGTACCTATTGGTTGTTCACCACCGGGGTATATCCCTCAATTTATCAACCAACCAAGGGCGTAGGTCAGGCCATCTATGGCCGCTCCGGGCAGTCAAGCGGATGGCAGCGGATGGCACCACCGAGATCAGCGCGTTGCGGACCGACCCACGTTGATCTTCATAGATCGACCCACGTTGCAGAAGACTGGGCAGGACAGAAGAGCGGAGGCTTGAAGGATGTGGAGGCGTTCTCGGAGGTGCACCCCTCCCCCAATGGAATTGGAAGGAGGACCCCCAATCCAGGACTTCACAGGCTGTCTTTACTTAAGCAGCATGGGTTTGGAAAAAGAGATGAGTCCTTTGGCTTTGACCATGTTTCATCCACCACAACTGGACAAGAAACATGCCCAACATCAAAAGCACCATGAGAAGCGATATCTCTGCGGATGTAGGGTTGAAAATCACCTAATCAACGAGCTGTTGCCTCACTTAAAAGAATCAGAATGCCCAAATCATTCATTTTGCCGCACCTGCGGAGCAGACTCTCCACCACCATCGGGGTCAAATAAGGCAGATCGGACTGTAGAACTGTAGCCAGTACTGTCCACGTTTATTACTGTATTACTCATGCAACTGTCACAGGAGCAGGATGGCATAGTGGCATAGTGACTCTTTGAAGATTAGTTGACTTTACTATCAAAGGGCATGAGCTCCAATGAGGAAGTTAAATGGAGGGTAGTTTCTCCACTGATAGAAGGTGAGATTGCTCCCTGCCACTGTCATACTGTCATACCTTCAAAACACATTTCGAACAAATTCAGGGCCGATCCGCAACGCACCAAAATCTCATTAGCCAAGGCTTTTTCCAGCGAGGGAAAAAATGCCAGCGGGCACACCTCTGCTCGACTACTCACCAAATGGCAAGAGGGGCAAGGTGCCATTCACTCGGCTGGTGCCCCAAAAACGATGGTCGATCAGTAGCAGATGTGCTGCCACAGAATCAGGTCGTAGCTCTCACCGTAGCTCCGTAGCTTCCCGGGGCCGTAGCTCCGGAGCTCTGAGCTCGGAGCTCTGTCAGATGTGGCTGTGGGGAGACCGACCTACAGTACAGACCGGGCACGACCTACAGTGGTGTCGGTCCTTCGCGGCCAATGGTGGACTGGTCGGGCTTCAGGTTGAAGGACCCAGGGCTTCAGGTTGGTCTGAATTTGGGTGCTTTCGGTTGGTGACACCCTTCTATCATGCGAGATGCCCATGTAGTCTCTGCAACAGTGGTCTGTCTGCAACAGTGTCTAAGCAGCAGTGCAAAACGTGCCTGCCCGACCTCTCAAGACCAGGTTTGGTTGTCTAACTTCCCCCGCGGAGATGTTGGATGTCTAACCTCCGCCCCCCATGTCATTGCATGGCGGCTGTTAACACCATGACTATCTTTCGATCCCATGGAGTACCCCACGGAACGGGTGAGTGGACGCCCTGTTCTGAATGACAGCCAAAGACAAGCTGCTAGCGACTCCGACCGAGAAAGCACCCTTCATGGGATGCTCAGAGAGTACCAGTGCTCTTGCTAGAATGTTCCCTTCTTCATGAGCGCTACTCTGCTTGTCTTGCTGGAGTTGAAAGAAATGAAGAAAGCGCAGCTAAAGTGAACAGGTCAGGTGAGTGAGAAAGGGTGCCATCTAAGCCTGGTCCATCTTATGAATGGAAGGCATGGCACTCTGGAAGTGGTACTGATTGAAATCATCATGGCTATGTGGATGGCCTGGCCCCGAGTTTGCATAACCACCAAACAGGTGGATGTTCACATCACTCCACTAACCCATGTTGGGTGGCACAGTTTTTTTATCGGAGACTCTCTGGTTTGCGAATTCACCACCAGACTTGGGTTTTCAAGATGGTGAAAAAGCACTTAAAACTTAAATTGTCCAAGATTTTTAAAAAGTAAAAGCCTCTTAAAAGGGCTTAGGCTCTCCGACCGGTTCAAGGCTCTCCGAGCACCTGGACCAGTTTCTCCGGATCTGAAGAGCGAGCAGATCCGTTTGGATCCGATTGGAGCCCCCCATTTTTTGGGGGGGAGACGGAGGGCCTGAGACCGGTGGGGGGGCGCTTTTGACGGCATCGGGGTCGCTGGGGCGTGGCAAGTGAGGCATTTGGGGCGGGAGTTCGAGGTAAGCCGCTCAGCCTAGGCATAAGGGGTTTTTGTCATGGACTTCCCAACGTGAGACATCTGTATTGTGGGGAGCTTTGGAACCCTGCCAGAAACTGGAGGAGTCTTCCATTCTCCACTCTTCACGCTGCGCTTGACCCAAACCTGTCACGTGTTTCTGTCACACTGCGCGAGAGTCGCTATGTGCTCGATCTCCTCAGTCGGCAAATGAAATCCCACCACTCAGAAAAGGTATCCACAAACATTTCCGCAGGAAAAACGTCCTAAAGTGGATGTTTCACCTGGCTTCGAGGATGAGGTTTCACCAGCGTCCAAAACAAGCATTTCAACCAAAGGGCCTAAAGGGTGAAATCCGAACAGACCAAAAAAGATCCAAAAAATACACCTCAAAACGAACGAATGGACGGCGAGCGGTGTCCAAAGGTGCTTGGGTGCACAGGCACCGTGGGGATGGGTCGTCGCCCGACCAGTCCATAGGTCCACCATGGAGCGCAAACCCGGCCGGGCCACCGTGGTGTCGGTCAACGAGTCGGTCTTGGTCTTGGTACAACACCCTTGACCTCTTGGTCTTGGTTGGACTTCTGGCACGACGCATGCCAAATGGCTTTGGGATGCGGGTAGCATTCATGCTATGAAACGTAGTCAGCAATGAATTATGACATTGAATGCTTGCTGAAAGGTGGGGGCAGGCACTGAAAACCCTAGACCCTGCGATGTAGACTGTTGATGAATGAAAATGACGAGGTAAAACCATTCTGGGGAAGGGGTGGTTATTTGCTTTTAATCAACAGTCTCCACAAGTTGACAATCGATTTGTTGAGCACTGGCCATGTAGAAAGAACCCAGTCCCGCACGCGCGAGAGAGAGAGAGAGAGCCTCCGTCTTGTGACCGATGGCAGGAGTTGAAACCCAAAAATGGATCACATCGTGTATGAATGCCTCTTGAACACATGCAGATCATCTCTATCTATATATGTTGCAGTTGCAGAAAATAGAACGTGTTTATTTCACGGACCTGTGCGTACCCACGGAAGAGCAGGCCATCTAGGTCCTGATTGGGCCCCGTTAATCTCCCGAAGAGAAGGCTTTCTGGCCTGAGGCCTCTTTCTGGACCATGTTGAAGTCCTACAATACATCATGTCATCTTGTCATGTCGCAGAAAGAGCCCTCAGGCTCTCTATACTGATGTATTGTAGGACCTCAACACCTGCCTTTCAAGGTGTCCTATACGGAGAAGCCCTCTTTTTTTCAGCGAGATTTGCCAGATATCCGATGGACCAGTCAGGGAACCCTGCGCCCCCCGTCCCAAACAATATTGACAAAAAAAAGCGGTGCCCAGATCATCACGGTGTTCACGCATTGTCCCGCTCTGCCTCGTCCGCCTTCGGCCGAAGGCTCTGCATCGTGCGGACCCGGTGCCCTCTGGAGCTCGTTCCTGCGCTGGACCACGGTAGAAATGGATGGTGCGGTGCGGGCAAGCCGATCTTATGTGCGCCCCCGGCCGTGTCTACGGCAAGAAACATCAGAAAACGGTGCAAAGCCCAAAAACTCTGGGCAAACTCCCGATGCCACTGCTTTCGCTGGAAAAGAAAGGTTCACCGGGTTAACTGAACTGTCCACCTGTAAAGCTTTACCCCGACCCTTCATACACCGTGACGCACAGCGCGGCCCCTCCATTTTTTCCACCTGGAGGACCCTAGCCTTCCAAGCAAGACTGCGGAATAAATTGAAAAAAGAAAAGACTTTCCTTTTCCGTGTAATCTTTTTAGCACCTTGAGCAAAACAATCGTTGCTGGATGTTGTTGAATCGAACCCATGAAATCCATTGTGGGCATTCGAATCCATTGAAAAAACACCGACACGTGCAAAAGGCAGTGATATATATCATGAGAATATCCGAGGATGGTATCAAATTTGAAACGCTGCACCACTGTTGCATTCATAGTCACACACAAACATACCCGGACAAGGTGGAGAAAGGAAAAGCGGCGGGGCGGCCACGCAGACCCGGAGAAAGCCTGGAGAAGGACAACGCAGGACCCACAGCAGCGCTGACAGCGTTCGCAAGCGTGGCTTGCGGCTAGAGGACAGCAGGACGACACCGCCAGAACAAAAGAAGACAGGGTTAGCATGGCCAGAGGACAGCAGGAGCACTCCAGGAGGACAACTGGCGGACAAGAAGGGGATAACAGGAATAGAGGGGAGACTGTGGCCAGCTTCTTTTTCCTGTAAACTCCAAAAGGGACTTCTTGCAATCCAACCACCCGGAGGTCCCTCGCACCATACACGAGATCCCTGGCATCCCACCAAGCAGCCCCAGAACGGCAGCCCGTGGCAGGCACCACCCCGCAACACGCCCCGCCCGGCGGCTGTGAAAGAACCGCCAGCCCCCGCCTCAGGGCGGCCGGCGCCACAACGCCCGTTGGATCGGGAGGCCTCGCAACGAGGTCTTCGGCAGCGCTATATACGGCGGGACCGTGAGGGGTGAGGGGTGAAGGAAAATGTGAACCATCTGACGAAATCGGACGAACAGAATTCACATGGAAGTGGAATCGCCATGGACTCTGTCCTTGGATCAAGGAGTGTTTCACACTTCTGCGGAACGTGACAGGCGGAGTGTAGATCGGACACTGTCGGAACGTGACAGGAGGCCTCAAGATGGACTTCACGATGGTGAGAAGCCATGTTACAAGCAGGTTGAAAACCATGATGGTAGCAGTAGTAGGTCTTGGCCCATCGTCCAAACTTCAACAAATTGAAAAAATGAAAAGCTGGTGTACCTCCCAAACCTACTGGAAGCGTGTTTCCTCCCCACTCAACCACCATCCCGCGTTCGCTTCCGGCGGGTGGTGCCAATTTATGGGATCCAAAGGGACTCCGACTCGGAAGACCACGATTAAGGGACTCCGACGTCACGTCTTCGCGGCTCCGCCTGACCAGAGGATCGGGGAGTGCGGTCGAGCAGGTGGAAAACCTCTCGGGCAGGTCGGTGCTTCGAGGTGCTTCACGGGGTAGAGGCGGGAGGCCATCAAAACATCAGATACAGGGTGTTACAACTTGTGCCCCAAAATCACTCTGAATGCAGAGACACCTCACAACAATCAATGTGGTGGCATGATGTCTCAGCGGGGTTGCCGTGGTTTGCACGAGCGAGCTCTTGGCTCAAATCCGAAAGACTGTTGTGGGCCAAATCCCCGAAAGCACCCTGACACGCACCACGACATGTTGGACTACGCCAGGGTAGGTCCACATAAGCTAGGAATTGAAACCACATGACGGAGTACAGACGCCCCAAGTGGAGCTGGGAAGCCACATGAAGCCACACCGAAAAACCGTCCCTGCTTGAACCGCAGCCTGAGGGAAGATCCGAAGCTGCGATCTTCGAGGTCCTCCTCGCAGCTTGGAAGGATGGGCTTCCGGGCACTCCTGAAGCCGAGCGGCCGCTCGCGTGGGTCGCGGCCAGCCAGCGAGCGTGCGGGGTCTTTCGAAGTTCTCCGAACGGACCCTGCGGCGACCTCCGACTCACTTGAGAAGATTGAGACAAGACGTGCTTGGTTTTGGGGAGCCGGAATCACTTCGAATCACGGAAAGGGGAATGAGCATGCTGCAGCATGGCACAAAAAGGCTCGGAGCATCTTGTGGTGCCAAATCCAGAGGTGGCCATGGCAAACCCACCTCACATGGTTTAGGTATTCTAAGCTACCAGTCTAATACGGCAAATGGGCTTTGACCCACAGCCATGTGGGTTGTCTAATGACATCTAAAGTAGACTCTTGATGAATAATGCCCCCCGTTTGAATTGGAATCCTCTTCATATGGGAGGGGTCATTAATCAAGAGTCTACATCACCTTGTGGACAAGCAGTCTACCCATCTCTGTCAAGCTGGGGAGCCCGGACAGGCTCAACGACACCTGCAACGCCCGGACGGCCCGCGGTTCAGGTCAGACCGCGGACAGCATCTCTTCATGTTGTGGACGGACCACATGTTGGTCGGACGGAGGTCCAAGGAGGGTGCCGACTGTTGGACCCCGTCCGCGAACGTGAAGACCCGGTGAGTCGTTGGTGGAGGTTCCTGTAGTCACCTTCATGAGAAAAAGGCCAGGACCTCGTTGGTCGTAAGTCATCCTCGTTTGGAGAGAAGACAGCCGTAACTGTGAGACTTTCCTGGGCTGTCACTTGTTCATCTATGCAGTGGTGTTTCTTCAACAGCTCCCATATCAAACTGGGCAGCCTGACCTCAAGAGCTTCTCACACTTCTTTGGCTCCCAAAGAAACAGAAACTCGACCGGTTGCTTATTGATGTGCATGCAACTATTCCATAGATGCCTCTTTGATAAAGCCTGAAAAAGCGCTGGTGATGCATGTGATTGCACTGGCGTTGCACCCATCTCGCTCAAGGGCTGAATTGCCTTTCCAACGGAGAGAAACCTGTCTGTCTCCTGGTCAAACCTGGCCCGTATCCGCAAACCGAAACAATCCCAGGCAGGTTGTCTTCTTTGAAAAAACCTGTTTGCTGTGGTGCAAAAATGTTAAACGAAAGGCGATTCCACTTCTAAGGAACAGGTCTACCTGGTCTACCCACAAAGTTTATATAAATAGATGAGTTTCCTTGGGGAAATCAAGTAAACAAGTATGAACCATTATGAACTAATCATATCATTCATAAAGCAAGCGTGCAAACAACGAAATCGCCCCGCCCTCCCACCCTGCAGCTGAAGCTGGCCACCCGCACCTGTTGACTCGGGTGGCTTGAACTCGGCACTTTGGCTTGAAGCTGCTCCATCGTCGCCTACACGGGTTCAGAAGAGGAAGAGGAGAGGGTTTGTGTTTTTTTGTTTTTGTGGGTGGACCGCCTATTTTTGTTGGATGCTGTCCATGTGCCTTTTTCTTTTTAAGAAGGTTCTGGTCTTCCATATGGAAGAACTCGTGGTTCGTGACCAAGGGTATCGCTGCTTTTGACCGGCGAACTGATCTGCGAAACTGAGGTTTCGAGGAAGCAGAACCAAGATTTTGAGTCTATCTGAACCTCCAAGAGCTCAGTGGATGATGATGGTTAATAAAGGCCTTCTCTAAAATAGTGATAATTGTTGACCGACTGTTACAGGTAATCAGGTAATAGGACAGGCCCCACCAAGATCTATGTATCTTTGACACTCTTTTACCAACTAGTGGCATCCTCCAAAATATTGTCTCTTAACGTCTGGGCTGTTTCCCACAGTATCTTAGCTTTGACCGAGCAGGGGGCCCCTTCTTCAGTCAAAAGCAAAGTGCTATGGTCTTTGAGTTTTCTCGCTGTTCGTTCTTGTTTATATATACAAAAAAAACAAACATAACCTCGGTCCATATGGAGAAGAAGGAGTTTGCAGATCATTTATCAGATCCCTGACCCTTCCACATCGTTTGACCCGTTTTCGTATCTGTCCACCTCATTGAGGGTCACCAAAATTACTAGACCTTGCCGCACGTGGAAACACGTGAAATGAATGAAAAAAATAGGTTATTTCTAATGTCTAAGAGTCTATCCTCCGCTCCTTCACCGTTCCTTGCCAACACCCGTTCCACCGTTCCCGCCCGTTCCACCGCCGCCGCCTCGGTGGACTTCTCCAAATCGCCCACCGCCCGCAGCGCTTCCCGGAGTTGCTGAGTTGCCAACTGCACGGCCTCGCAGAGTCCATTTTTTCTCCTTGGGTCGTAAACAAAGAAATAGCGATGGCCTCCTAGCACTGGTCATGTAAACTTGTTTGATTGTTGTTCTTGGAGAAGAAAAGCCACCAGGAAGATGGTGGACAGAAGTGGCTTTGCTCAAACGAGAATGCTCCAGCAGCTTTAGTCAACCATCTGGTCAGACTCGGTCGATCAAAGGCTTCGGTGAAAACGTCGGCCTCCCGGAAGTCGCTCTCCTCGCAAAGGACCTGGTCGCAAAGCGACAAAATGAAAAGAGTGGCCTCCTGCCAGTGGCCTCCTGCCAGTGGATCTAGGGGATGAATCCAAAACTACCTGCTTTCAATTGCTTGGCTCTATATTGATACAATGTATAAACTCTGTGGCATGTCCCTCTATGTATTTCACCCTCGGCAAGCCAGGGTTGCCTTAACTTTGGAACACTTTGAGAATGTCTCGTCCTCTGCGCAACCTTCTTCAACAAACGCATCAGCTGCCCCAAGCAGCTGCTCCGCTTGCTCCGCTTGCTCGGCCCCGCCGCGGCCTTCGCTTCCTTCAAGGTCACCGGCAAGGACCGGCGCAACTCCGACGGCTCGGGGAGCTCAGGGAGCTCCAGCCTGATTTGCACGGCATGGGTGGCTCCAGTTGAGATGGCCTCTGGTTTTTGTGGGAAAGTCTGGAATTCCTAACTCGGGAAAGTGAAATGTGCAAGCATCAACTCAAATCGCTATGGAAATCCATAGGGTAATGGAACTCATCAGCCCAATGTCTCACCTCTGTGCCGATCGAAGCGGTGGGGAGAACCTTTTTGTCCATTATTGGTATTTAGCAGAGCAGCCATTGGGCATTCCAGGTATCAAAAGAGCAGGTGAATAGTGAACAGTGCAGCAGCCATGGGATGTGTTGTGAAAGAAACCAATGGCAGGCATCATCGTCATCTCATTGTGCGAACGTGATTGAAAAGTTCCCCACATGGATAATGTCACCATACCGAATCCGCCGACCCCACACCGTGGGGTGAGGCGTGACTGTCGATGTTAGCCTTAGCCTTAAGCCTTAGCCTCAGCCTTAGCCTTAGACCTTAGACCTAGTCCTTAGCCTTAGACCTAGACCTAGACCTTACCTCCCCTACCCCTCCGGACCCCTTGCTGCAGTGACGAAATCCGGTTGAATTTCTCCGGGAAAGCAACCTGGATTGTCCAAGAATCTGCCATCCCAATTGATTTACATCTTGAGGCACCCTCTCGACCCGCGCGGGAAAATAAGCACGGTCCAAAATGGTCCTGGGCTCGAATCCCGGGCTGGTCGCGGCATGGTCCCGGCCAATGCCCTTGCTTTTTCGTAGATTTTGTCACGTTTTCTGTTGGTTTATGAGATTTTCAAAGGCTTTTCTGGCATTTTCCTAGGAGTGCTCTAGGCTTTGTCTTTTTGGGTGCCTGCTTTGGTGGTGCTGGGTTGGGTCTAAATTGGTAAACCTGGGAGGTACCCAAAAAGTCGACTTTTTGGGTACCTGCTTTGGTGGTGAAGGGTTGGGTCTAAATTCTTGGGCAATGATCGGGGTTCATGCAAGAGCTGACGTCCGATGGTAAATCTGGGAGGTACCCAAAAAGTCGACTTTTTGGGTACCTGCTTTGGTGGTGCTGGGTTGGGTCTGCACTCTTAAGGCTAAGGCTAAGGCTTAAGGCTAAGGCTAACATAGAGCAAGGCTAGCGCTAAGGTTCTATCCCTTGGGGGTCGGCGGCTGCAGGCGGTAGCCTGGTAAATACATCATACATCTTTAAGGGTTTGAACTGGCACTTTACCTACGTCACTGTATTTGGAAACCACTGCAAGCAACCACAGTCAGAACAAAAACAAAATCATACATTTGGAGTCTGCCATTCTCTGGGTCCCTACCTCCTTTCCAATATCTCCTTTGGCTCACTGGTCTCGATGGTCACGGCTGTATGCCTTGGACGAGTCTCCGTCGGGTGCGTCAACACGAAGCATAACATGCCTGCAGTTCCCCCATCCAATCTGGCTCCATTCCAACCTGACAACAGCTCTGGGTTTGGGGTTTTGAACCTCCACGGTCCGCAAAAGCAGGCAGTTTTAACGAAGACACATGTGGATTTGGGAGGATGTATCACGATTGGAGATACACGTCACTGGTTGCAACAGCCTGGATACACCAGGAATGACTGTCCATCCTTCAGGCTCGCAGGGTCCTACCTTTGAATTCGTTTTCGTCCAAATGGGCGTAAAGATCATAAAGAGAAAGAATGAAAGTGAAAAGTTTCACGATGGGAAGAAGGTACCGCAGGTTAATTTGCCAAAGAAACCGGTTCATATCTACTGCCAAGGCAAATAAAAATCTAATTAACTAGAATACAATAAGGAAATCATCCTGTCCAGATCCTGCCCAGGCCCTTGCCTTCGGGTTTTTCAAGGTATCCAAGCTACACAACCGACTACAACCAAATGCTTAGACCATCATTGGAAACATAACGGTGTCTGGGCAACTGCGAAGGGTCGGATCAAAATCCGGAACTCGGTTCCATGTAGGATCTATGGATCTTCTCAAATTTGCTGTGGGTGAAAGCTGCGATAAATGAACTAACTTGCAACGACCAAAACACTAGAGTAGAGGTTGGCGGGACACCGAAAATGGTGTTCCCTCATGCCAACAAACAAACCCAGGGCAGCATCCAGTTCTCTGCATGCCGGGGTGCTGCAACACCTCTTGAACCTCTGCTGAGAGCTTTTCCTTCGACGTCACATCGGTGTCTGCAAAAAGTGCCATGACCACGCAGTGACCCAAAAGAAAAACAATTAATTCGCATCTGAATTCTTTTTGGGGTTGCAGTTGGTCAATCTGGAAAAGACCTGGATTTTTTCGGGCATCTGCACTGCTCATTGGCCCCCCTCAGTTGAAAGAATATGAAATGAAACAACAAAACCGAAAAGGTAGGGCACCCGTTGTTCTAGAAGAGAAGTAGCTCGTTTTCAATTCTGCACGACGTCACCGCCAGACCAACGTCACCGCCCAAGGCTGACGGATGTGTCAATCAAAAGGCAAACGGATGATTGTTCTCCCAAGAGTGACTCCGTGAGTTCTGAAGCCTAGAGAAAATGCCTCGTAAACAGCGACCCCCTAGCTATCGACCTTGGTGAAGACTCCAAAAAAGGGCCGAAAGGGAGGTGTAGTAGGTCCAACGTAGGACATGAGTACCACCACATGAGTACCGAGCCAGAAGACCTCGCCAGAAGACCGCGTACACTCCCCCAGAGGTCCAAGTCTCCATGCGAGTTGACAGCTCCACAAAAACGCCTTCCACAGCGTTGGCCAGTTCTTGTTGCTGATGGACACAACGAATCATGTTGTACCTGCTTCCCAAAGTGCCACACTCGCTGAAGTGAAAGCGCTATCACTGCAACATGTTATATAAAAGTTCTTTGGGTGCTAGGCTGAAGTCATCTGCTAAGATCCTCTTGAATGCGTTTGGAGGTTCTTAGTTTCGACACCGTGGTGAAGAATCCACGTTCATTGCTGCATCTCAGTTGCAAAGTTGTCTCACGTGTGATGCCCATGTGCCAAACCCAAAAAGATCGTGGGGAACAGATTATATAACAGACTCCCGGCGTCTTCTGGCCATCTCTCGTGAGCACAGAAGGCTGTGGTGTAACCAATTTGCAAACCCACATCGAAGCCTGCAACAGCTGTACCAAATGTTTGACGTCTCTGCACCCTGCCACTTGAACCATATAACTTACATAAGCTCTCTTTATTCATCCTAGCACTGTGTTGCAGTTGCTTGTGGACCCAGGTCATGCATATCATACCACACGGGCTTTCTCTAGTAAAATCATCGAATATCATAGAACCCTGTTTCAGTCCCGATGCAAGTGACAAAGCAAAACTGCCTAACTACATGGTAAAACTTTACCTCTATGGCAACAGACTTGTTGCAAAACTACTCGACCCCATCCACACCGGTCTTCACCTACAACACCCTGACCCACAACATCCCCCGTCAACCACAGTGGTTCCCTACTTACCCATCATGGACAGAAACATGGCCATCACTTGAGACATCATGGACAGAAACATGGCCATCACTTGAGACTCCCCTCACTCCCAACCCCAAAGCATCTCTCGCCAAAATCTCTCGCGCTGATTCGGCTCACTTGATGAATCTGGGCGCGGTCTTGCTATCATGGACCCAACGGCTTAAGGGTTTGATAAACTCATGGGACTCTATTGATCCACTACCATCAACATCGATCATCTGGAAGAGCTCGCGCAAGTCACCTGCCAGACGAGCTGTGCAATGCAGCCAAAGGCTAAGCATTCCCTAATTAACGCGGCTTTGCAACCCAACTGCAGGTAGCAACTCAATTGGCTGCGATTCTTCAAACATTCCAGTTCCAGCTGCGTGTTCCTAAAGTTTCCAAACCGAGTCCCAAATCTGGGAGGAGCTGGCGAGCAGGAGCTGGGGAGCAAAAGCAGGAGCAGGAAGTAGGTTCCAAGAGGCATGACATGTTCCTTTTGGAGTCCACCAAAACCGTTGTTCAAGAACCAATGGCACCACACCCCAAAGAATTGGAATCTTTGGTCCATGAAACCCCTTATGTGATAGCCTGACCCCCCCGTGACTTTATAGAGGATATGTCCACGTGGATGGGAGAAAAAAGAAAGAACACACGAAGTAGTTCGAACTCATTCCGCCAAAAAAATGTACCCGGCGGCGCCTTCGTCGATGTCCATCACCCGCAGCCGGCTTTGGAACTCGGGGTTCTTCCGAGCTCCTGCTCAGAGGAGTGGACGCAAGCGTCTGAACAAGAGAAGGATCGCCAGGATGAAGAGGTGTGTTCATCCGGGAATGCATTCTATTCACCAAGAGTCTGTTTGGCTTTGGTCACTGAGCGAGAGGTGTTTGTTTGTTGGGGACCTGTGGGGATTGGATTGTCTTGGATCTTCCTGGACCATAGGTTCCATTTCTTTACTGTCACTGTACAAAGGGATACATTCGGTGATGATCCGCTGATGTGTTACATTTAGACTCTCCAACATGGATGCCCTAGGCAACAAATGCATGACGTACGCAACAAATGTTTTGCAGAGAGAAAGGAAAAGGACCAAAACCTGCAAATAAGATCAAATAAGCAGTCACAAGGTCCTCGCCACAAAAAAATAGATTCTAAAACGCAAGCCCAATGGATTCTATATTGATGGTGTGGTAGCATAACAGCACTGAGGGATGATCATAGCAATTGATCGACTTTGACCAGAGGCACGCAGCACGCACAAAAGGTGGCTTTAAAAATTCCATTCTCGACAGTATGACTGACCCATCCCAACGCAGAAACTGCCTCCCTCTGCAAAGTCACTGCTTGGGCAATGGCCCCAATTCATTGTTCCCCACCATGAAGCAATCATACAAGGGTGAGTGATTCCATGCTTTTCTCCAAATAGATTTGTCCTAGAAAGCTTTGGTTTAGCTGTAGTTTGCCAACCATGGGTTCTGATATATGTTGAAAGGAATCGACCAGTGTCCGTTAGTTTTTTGTTTCATCTTTTTTCCCATGTGACAAGTCCAGGTCGGATGCTTCACATCGCCGAC